GTTCTTAAGGTGGACACACTGTAGATGAAGTTTGTTTGTTGAAACAATGTTTATTCAACTATGATTTTTATATTATTTATATGTCTATACGAGAGTCTCTATTTTATGTTCAGTAGTTTCATCATATTATATTTTTTGTTTCATGTTTCAATAAAAATACTTTTTTTAATTCGATTAATTTTGACCATTGCACTTCGAGCAGTTGACCTTCAAGTTTGTAAAAAAATTCGCCTGCGTCGCACACTTTTTGGCATATGGTTGGCCTGTTTAAGAAAATACGCCCGGCCCGTTTTGAACCTCCAATCCGGCTCTGCATCGCACGCCTTCATCTTTGTTATTGTTTTCACTCAATTTGTATCCATATTGAAGATTTATATCAATATAAGACATTACAATGGGCTTATATCACAAAAAAATTTTATTTCATAATTCGATAGAACTCACCCAAACTAGCTCACCAACGCAAAGCGTTTCTTGCTGTGAGCTCCCTACGTTTTATAAAAAATTATTGAAATCCTCGATTTTTCGGACCTCTGCAAACGAGGCGATGATGTGACGTCAAAACCCTAATACTGAAGCAAGACTATTCCAGACAGAGATGAATGATACATGATTTCTGACAGAGTGAATTAGCGCGAGATCACAGTTGAAAGAATTAATATATCAGTTGCCTCAGTCTCCGTCGGGCTTTTGGTATTTTCTTTTAACTATGGCAAGATGAGGTTTCTACGTCATAAGAGGGTCCGTTTTCAGAAGGTACTATTAATTATGTCCAAAAATAAAACATTCCAGTTAATTTTTCTATCGAATTATGTCGTCAATCATTATTTATGTATAAAAGGATCATTCTAAACATGGTTTGGGTTAAAAGTTCTACTAAGGTGTACACGCCCATTGAAATATTGATAATAATAAATCAATCTGAATTTGGTAATTTTTCAAAGTCTTAGGAGATAGAAAATAAATAGTTAGGTATCATTGATTGTTGATGGTTAACTATAAAAATGAAATAAAATACATCTATAATTGGCATAATATACAGGATGAGTCATAACTTTTGGAACATATAGGCTTAGGACTGATAGTTAGAACCAAAATATGGCAGAATAATAAGACAGAATATGCCTTAACAAAATATTGCTGTGGAAAAAGATACAGGGCGTTTAAGTTGACTTTTTATTTCGATTTTTGCTATTTATTTCGCTGTGTATTTATCATTTGTTATAAAAATCGACAGAGAGCCATAATTTTACACAGGATATATTATTTTATGTACTATACTAGTTTGTTTCAGGAGCGCCATGTCGCGTGAAACTTTTTGCTGAATTTGATTAGAAAATATGACATATACAAAATTTTGGTAAAACTGCATTTAGCATGCGATGGTTTTTTTTTCGAAAATTTTTTTTGGTACTTACGTATTTTTGTCTGAAAAACACGAATTTGATAATGAAAATGTGAACAAACCACTATTTATCGAGATATTTCAAAAAAAAGTTCGAAATTTCGACTCCTTTTTCCCCTTGCGTTGGATGCATTTTCAGGTACTTGCTCTTCTTATTTTGTCATTGGACACTTTATATACTCATGATGTACAGGCTGTCCCATTTTCGATGTCCTTACGGGATATCTCGCTTAATTTTGAAGATAGAAAGTTGCGGTTTTCGCGAACGTTGGCTACTTTTTTGTAAAACTCACGAAACCGTGAACAAAATTTCCATAGCCCGCTTCGTTCCTGAGATACAGGGCGAAATTGAAAATATTGCATTTTGAGACCCCCCTTGTATCTCAGCTATCTTTCAACTTAGAGGGAAAGTAAGAACTGTTTCTTTCACAATTTTTCACGTAGAATCCAGTGGCGTGGTCAGATTTTTTAAATGAGCTGTCGTTATTTAGATATAACCCAAAGTTATGTTTTTTTAAATAGAACACCCTGTATGTTTTTCAATATTTGAAACAAGAAAGCTTTGCGCTTTTCAAAAATATATAACACTTATATGATATTTCGAGTATAAGTCCTGTATTTGGGTAATTTTCAGTTTTTTATGTAGGTTTCTTATCAATAGGCCTTGTAAAAATGTGGCAACATTATCCACTTCACAAATTTTCATATTTCCCTTATTGCTGACACAGTGTTTCGTCACACACTCACCACATTTACCAATATTCAGTACTATTAATTGCCTATGAAAGCTGTGGACCTAATTAGTAGGTAGCTATGAAAAAAATAACACAAATGCAGATTGTTTACAATTCTTGTCACCTACCTGTCAAAGTTTACAAATTTTTCATACAATGGCGAATAATAATCCAGGATATCAAAACTACGAGAAATTAGATATGGTTGGAATATATTACCAAGTTGGCTTCAATGCAAATCAAGCGAAGGACCTATATTTTGAAAGGTATTTACTATCTCCCAATTGCTGGGTATCAGTTTTATCATATTAACTTTAACGCTCTGTAGATCGGTAACGAAGCGTTTGCGGACACATGTTTATGGACAAAAACGTCTTATTTTGACCTGAAAAATACGCCCCTAAAATCTTGATACTGAATTTTGAAACACCCTGTATATAAATTGTCCAATGATGAAAAAAGAAGGGTGAATTGTTTGAAATTCAATCTAGAAGACAGGCGGAAAAGAAGGTGAAATTTGAAACTTTATAGTGAAAGATCTTGATAAATAATGGTTTGTTCACATTTTCATTATCAAATTCGTGTTTTTCAGACAAAAATACGTAAGTGCCAAAAAAAAATTTCGAAAAAAAACCCATCGCATGCTAAATGCAGTTTTACCAAAATTTTTACGTAATATTGGTACGCTTGTTTCAAAACGAGGAAAACGCAACAATTGAAAAGTTCAAAGTCACGGAAAGGGTGTGCTTTGGACTGTCAGATAATTGTTGCTGGTGACATTACATTTTTTGTCAATGACTCAATTCAAAAGTGCAAGTATATAGTCAATAATTTTTCGAATGAAACGCCCTGTACATTTCTCCACAGCAATATTTTAATGGCATATTTGGCCCTATCGCCATATTTTGGTCCAAACAATCCGCCACAATTAGCCATGTCCCAATAGTTATGACTCACCCTGTATAACTTCTTCAAATATCTGGTAGATATGTATTCCATCTCAATGCAAAATACAATGATTTTCCAAACATTGAATAAATAATAATAAGTTCAAAAATTGGAATAACACATTTCAGAGAAAACTATATAACCCTGAAGCTAATTATTATTTCTTTGGGCGGACTTCAAGATTTCAATAATAATATTTATTTATAGTATTTTGTTGATGAGAATATTCTGAATATTCATTGGAAAACAATTCACAATTTCAAATAATTTGCCATCACTGCTCACTTGCAGAATTCTACAATAAGGGTTCATAAAAAATCAGAAATCAGGAAATATTTTCACCTAGTTTGAAGAAATATAATATATAATATAATATAATTTCTGCAAGACGAATTCAATAAACAAATTTTAGTTGAATTGGCCTCGCAGATGAATGAAAAATTCTACCAGATACGTATAGAATGTGAACATTTTCAATAAACCCTGGATGAAAGTATATTATATAGTTACCTAATATTTTTCTACCTCAACTATAGGATTTGATATTCGTCCATAAGAAAACTTCTTTCAATTAAGCAATTATTTGAATGTCGAAGCTGGAAGATGTATTTCTTTCAATTTTCAAATTGTTGTTTTTATTTCATTTTTTAAACTGCAACATTGTGTTTTCGTGCAGCTCCAATCTCTGCCTGAAATTATTGAAAAAAAAATTAAAAACTCGAAGCTTTATATAAACGCTTTCTGCAGATCGGTAACGAAGAGTTGGCGGACACATAATTAGGTTTATAGGGAAAAGTGTTATTTTGACTTGAAAAATAAGCCCCTGAAATTTTGATACTAACTTTTGAAACACCCGCTGTATATTAGGCTAAGATTCTTGGAAAAAGTAATCCCATGCAGAAATTATATTTTCTTCCTTTCGGTATATTCGATATTCTCAGGAGAATTTTAAAAATACTGCCACGGCAACGAAACAACACTGACCGAGAGGTCATAATATGTCCTCTCTTCCGAACGAACCGGGCTGGATTCAATACTCGCACTTGAACATCATTCATTATTGGTTGTCTTGTCTGTTTGTCTTGTTACACTTCTGTTCCTGTCACTGTTTTGGATCGACTAATGGAAAAAATGAGTTATTCTTCAAGAAATTTAATAGGTAGGTACTTGTTTTTTATCTGGATTAATTTGTGGCGATATAAATTACATCAAAAATATACCTACCACTACAGAACTATGAGTTCAAATTATGCTTATAATGATTAACGAACAAAATATAAAAATTACGTGTCAGACTCCATCACATTGTTTCAACAAGATTTTAATATTCATTATTTTCGTCAATTGTTAGTGTTTGAGATGAATTTTTACTTCCCACTTAGACTAAATTCGATTATAATTCATATGACCATTCTAAATTAGAAATAAAAAATATATACACAGTCGGATAACTCAAACTCGAATTGAAAACCACATAATGCCTCTCTTGAGATTTGGTTTTCGATTATTGTATTGATCCTGACCCACAAATAGAAGGAAACAATATTTGTTGATTAATATAAATCTCTACTGAATACAGGTTTTTGTTTCATTGTTCAAAAACCGTACTCTACCCTAAACTATTAACAAATATATCTAAATAATAAATAAATAGAGAATTCACAATACTGACTTGTCAAATAATATTTCTTGCTTTTGTTTTCTTACTAAAAATAAATCAATTCAGCTGAAGCTTCATACACTACCAAAAAACCTAAATATTTGAAATACAATGTAAAGTATCTTGGAACTTAAATACATGACTGAAATGATTATTTCTCGTTAAATTTATCACAGAAGAGAAATATGTCCACATTCACAAGTACAAATTCTGAGATAATTTCTCATTTAAACTAATGTAGGGAACGCAGACGGAATGATAAAATTTTATTCAATGCATAAAACTACACTACACATAAAAACAATGTATATGAATTAATAAAAATATACAGTTGATGATATACAGCCATCATAATTGATATTCTTCAGAGAAATCTTTTTTCAGTCAATTCAAATGAAGTAGTGAAGTGTTATCAGAAAATAATTCACTTTTAAACCTAGCTATTTACATTGAAATGTCTCCTAAATTATATAAAGTCAAAAATATAATAATGCTTCCTGGTATCTGAGCCAAAACTCATGTCATATTCCATCAACACACTTCACCTACAAACATTGGCTCACAATGTGTACCTTTTCCTAGAAAATATCACATGATGGAAGTATCACCTAAAAATTATATAATATTACAGATATTAAATAATGGTCTATCACTTCTTAGAAGATGCCAGTTTCCTTATCAAAGGTCCATTTAGTTTGGTATTCAGACTGATTTTGGCGTAACTAGAAGACGCATATTTCTTCCTAATCGTCTGAAATCTCGACGACTCACTTTTCGCTATCATACAACCGAGATCTGCGATTATGTGTTTGAAATCATTGTATTCATAATGTGTGTAATGAACCAAAGTTGGTGTCCACAATTTCGAGACATCCATAACTTCATTCAGGATTCCCATCGAGAGACAACATGCCGCTGCAGCCAGCATGGAAGGTTTAACATGACCCAGTTCATAATCGAGTAATGCTAATTCTAGAATGTATTTCCCTAAAGTATGGTGGTCACTGCGAACCTGAGCAATTTTGTTATAACGCCTCAGAAAATGAACAGATAGAGGACGTCCCAAACTGAAATCCAGCTTCTTTAATATGTCTCTCTCCATCTGCAGAATCTGTTTCTCGGAGAAAGAGTTGTCGCAAATGTAAACAAAATCTGTTAAATCTGGTATATACATTTCCTCATATTTACTTGCAATTAGCATCGCAGAAGTACCAACCAACTGGAGAGTACTGCGCCCGACATTCTTATTGTCCTGTAAGTATCTATCCACTATTGCTATGCAAAGATGAAGGGTCTCCAGATAAAGTTTGAAATTCATATGAACTTCAACAAGCCAATTTACAAGTATTGAACGCATCCTCGAAGTTGTTTCATGACCTTCAAGAAATTGTTCTCGGATAGGATATTTGACCTCCATGTCTCTTAAATAGGTAAAAATATCGCCAAGATATTCAGCTACCATTTGTGGTTCATTTTTTGAATTTTCGTCTGGGTCAACAATGTTGAGTTGCTTTGTTGAATAAGATTTCGTCAGGTCCTTGTTGATGGTTTTCTTCTCGTCAACAGGAATATTTTTCAAGATACTCTCCTGTCGTTTCAAGATGGGTTTCAATGTTGTCGTCGATTTTTCGGATGGTTTTTTAACCTCTTTCTTGGTAACAGAGATGTATGTCGTTTTCTTGACGAGGGCCTGTGGAGGCCCCATAGTACTAGGTTTCTTGACAGGTACATTCTTATTTGTTATAGGGAGTCTATTCCCAACTTCGCCAAGGGCAGCTCTTTTGGGGAGCACTTTTGCTGGTTCTACAATAGCAGACTTGACAAGCAGTCTTGAACTTATGTTTTCTTTGAGATTTTCTGGCTGTCTCAGGGCCATTCTGGAAAAAATATCAGGAATATTAAAAATTGCTTGAAAAGTCAGAAATTACAAAATTATGCACAGTCTTGAACTTATGTTTTCTTTGAGATTTTCTGGCTGTCTCAGGGAAATTCTGGAAAAAATATCAGGAAAATTGAAAATTGCTTGAAAAGTCAGAAATTACAAAATTATACAGTGTTCCGTCTACTTCGTTCCTAGTTCTAGATTTTCCTTCAACTATGACAAAATTCAAATGCCAAATTGTGGATTTTTTTCTGATTTTCAATGAAACCAGAGTAGCTTTCAAATCAGGGATTTTTATTGAAAAAAGAAACTTTCGAAGTCAAAATATAAAGAGGGGTGGGGTGTTCAAACATGTGGTGAAGAAGAAATTCCCAGCAACGACAAATTATAGATTCTTCTATGATTTTTACTCATATGCCGTTTCATACCAATTTGATTAGCATATTCAAGTTTGTTTTGTTTAAATATCAGTTTCTAGTGCGTTCATCGATATTTCGTCACACTGATGTATGAAATGATAAATATAATGATTGAAAACAATACATGCGCATTCGTATTCATATTCGAATTCATAATGAAAATCCCTATCTGAATATGGAGTAATAAAGTGGATGTATTGTATCATCCTGAACATTTGCGATACTGTATAAGGTGGCTGGAATTAGAGCTTCATCATTGGGCTCTCGTAAAATCTAGGGCCGTATTCAAAACAACAAAGTTTATAATGGCAGCTAAAAGACGAAACTTTGGTTTGGAAATCCAATATCATCATCTTGTAGAACAGAAAAAGTAGCAATATTCTCATTGTTATTTGTTTTCTTACATCTATCTTTTTTCAAAAATCTTTGGAAGTATTCGGGCTTTTTCAATTTTCAAAACGGCATTTTGTTAAGCATAATATTGCGCAAGTTCGTCCTTTAACGGACCCTGTATCTCTTACGGTTTATGAGGTCCCAAATTGAGGTTCAAATTCCAGCCACCCAGTACAATTCATCAGTTTTTAAATCACAAAAACTACACTACTAAACTTGTCCTTGTTCTATGATGGCTCGACGTTGATCAGTTGTAGACAGGTGGGGGACATAGACAATTGACGTATACTCCGGCTACTTAGAGTCAAAACGCCGAAACAGCTCACAGGGTTACCCATGGACGTATAAAAAAGAAGGACACAGCAACTCTATACTTTCAGCATATAATGTTTTGAAGTCTTAGAGATGTAGGCAAGCGGGTTGAGGGGAAGGAAACGGTAACGATAGACTGTGCTATTTCCTCAAACGACAGCGGCGTGCGAAAATGAATTATAGTGATAGTAAATTTGGGAATCCAAAATGCAAAGAGCGACTAAAAACTGAATACCAATCACAATATGACCGTTTATCAATCCGGGTCGCTATGGGTTATACCTCGAGTTATACCAACTGGAAAAAACCTTACGAAGTGGACCTTGTAGTGAGGATAAGAAACAAATGTACATAGGTCAATGAATATTTAACAATATCAAATTTTCACAAGGGAAAAATTGTCTCATTAGGAAATGAGACATCAGGTATATAATTCATATATAGTGTACTGGGCATTTAATTAAATTCGCATAATTATTTATATATACAGTGTCATTCATAAAGTCGGCATCATATGGGAAAAACTTTTATTAATGACTTATTTTGAAATTCGAGTTGGACGTCAAGTTTTGCTTCATAAAAGATGAAAAATGGCCTACTCAATCGGGGTCACGTGACTTTCGCTACGTGTCAAAAGTGACATTTTTTCAAATTAATCGCTGAAAGTAGGCTTATTTGTTCGAATATCGAAAAAGTTTACTTGGAAAAGTTGTTTCTATTTGAATTTTACATATGTGACTCGGATTTTATCTTTCTATTACATCTTTCAGATTTCGATATTTTTTAAAAATTTTCGAAATTTCTGTAATATTAAAAAAATTGTAAATTCTATAAAACTACATCATACCAGTAGCTTCATCATGTTACTAATTTTCAATTACTAATTATCACTAATTATCGACAAGAATATGATTTTCTTCAGAAAATGATAAACTCCTCTTCAAAATTCTGTTATGTTTGAGTCAAGCATTTAGAAACGGAATTCATTTAAATTCATTTTTTCAGTACCTACTGAAAATATCAGTTTAAATGAATTTCGTTTCTAAATGCTTGATGATATAATATATCAACTTTGCATCAAACATAACAGAATTTGGAAGCGGGTATTATCATTTTCTGAAGAAAATCATATTTCTGTCCAAAATCAGTGATAATAAGTAATTGAAAGTAAGTAGCATGAAAAAGCTACTGGTATGCAGTAGTTTCGTGGAATTAACAATTCTTCAAATATTCCAGAAATTTCGGAAAATTAAAAAAAATCAAAATCTAGAAGTTGCAATAGAAAGATCGAATTCGAGAAGCATGTGTAAAACTGAAATAGGAACAACTTTTTCAAGTAAACTTTTTCGATATTCGAACAAATAAGCCTACTTTCAGCAATTAATTCGAAAAAATGTCACTTTTGACATGTAGCGAAAGTCACGTGGCCCCGATTGAGTAGGCCATTTTTCATCTTTTTTGAAGCAAAACTCAACGTCCAACTCGAATTCCAAAATAAGTCAATAATAAAAGTTTTTCCCATATGATGCCGACTTTATGAATGACACTGTATATATACTTATTCACAATTATTATTTATATGTTTCTAATTTTATTATTGAATGTTAATTTTGGGAACCTCACCGTAAAATTGCCGTATATTCTTGAATTTCTACGTATATTGGAGCAGTCTGAAATGATATGAAATAATGATGATATGATATCCCACTGAAATTATGAAATTTAAATTTTTTACACATGCCAGACCCTCGTAAACAGTGCAAATAAGGCATGTATCTGTCATCTCCTTTCATAAATGGTAGTTCCTATAAATTCTGAGAGCGGCACCACTCTCTGGACATAAATTGTTGCCATGCAAGGGTTTCGTAATCCCTAACTTTTTATGTTCATTTTTCATTTTGAGTGAATGAAAAAATCAGTACATATTTGTGAAGATCTAATCTATGTTCCTGTCGTCTCACTTTTTCGAAATTTGATTCAGTTTTTTCTTAAAAAAAATCGCAAAATAACGTGTTTTTTGATGATTTTCAAATTTTTTTTCTCAAGAACCGAATTAAATTTCGAAAAAGTAAGACGGCAGAAACATTTATAAGATCTTCATGAATATGTACAATTTTTTTCATCCACTCAAAATGGAAAATGACCGTGAAAAGTTAGGGACTACTAAACCCTTGCATTATTGCTTTATATCATAGTACAACTTCCTCTTAACAGAAAAGCATTGAAAAGGAATGTTCTCAGATAAATTATGTACGTAAAAAGATGGATATAAACATATATGAAGAAATACATCGAGACTTCGCATTCTCTATTTGATGAAAATATCAATTGTTACGCCTATGAAACTCTAATTCGAACATGTAAAAACAACGAAAACAATAAAGTTCCTCAAAGACATAAACATGAACGAATAACGCCGAAAGCACGAAACATCACGAAACGAGCCTGTTTTGCAGCGGCGTTGTCGGTTGTGTATAATCTCGGTAATCTTTACAGAATAACTTCGAAATGATGTATAAGGACAGTTTTTCAATATTTGATTGTGACCATCTATGGACATATGATTTATTCCTTGAGTTCTATGAATTGGATCATAATGAACATCTAATTGAATAGATGATTACAAAAGAGGTAAGTACAAATACTTGAGAGGATTAGACTGAGGTTAGGAATTATTAGCGACAGGACGTGACAACCTCCAATTCAACATCAGGTGATATACCGTGACCGTATTCTCTGACTTCACATTACGATGTAAATAAATGGGTCCTTCTTTGTGTATACGTCCATGGGGTTACCTATTTCTGTAACTGTTGAGTGTTTCGTGGGAAAAATATAATTATTCAGAACGATAAAAATAAGTCAAATTTTCCATTTTTGTTGATCCTTTCGTGTTTATTGACATCGACTTCTGATTCTCATCTTAATAGTGTTTGTAAGTATAGCAGTTTCTAATCAAAGACGGTCAAGAAATAAATACACAGTATGAAATAACTTCTGACATCAACTTGTTAAGATATAGGTAAAAAAAAACTATCGCCCCAATACACTTCAGCGTCCTATAGCTCCTCAAAGAACACTTCTTAGTGCATGTAAACTAGAATACACAGATTCATCAGCGACTTATTTTTTCAAATTGATGGTTTAGGTATCTGGAGATCCCAGCTAAATGGCTTTTTACTTGAATAACCTCAAACAGTTGGACGGGTTTATTCAAAATTTCATATTAACCTCACAAGATAGGATGGAATCGTCATCGCCGAATGAACAAGTCGAAGTCGCCAAATTTTCGGCCAAAACGCCAGAACAAATCAGTGGGCACTTTGCCGAAAGTGGTCATTATGCCGGAAAACGCCAGTGGCAAGTTGCCGAAAGTGGTCACGACGCCGAAACAGCTAATTGAACACTTCGCCGAAAATGGTCACTATGCCGAAACATCTGTTCGGACATTTCGCCGAATGTGGTGAAATTGCCAAAATAGCTGGATTTTTTTCATTTCTCGATCCGTACTCGAGAAATGAAAACAATAATAAAAACCAAATATTTCTTATTCTCCATAACAAAATATCATGTGAATGTTGGAGACTTGGCAACATTAGGCTGAGAACTGACAAGGCCACGCCCACAAGTCGTGCGACGTGGTTGACACATTCACCGATTCAAATGTCCTCTAGGGTGAATTAATATAATTAAGATTCACACAAATTCATTATAAGCAATGAGCCACAAATCATAAGGGAACATACTGAGACAATTGAATTTTTATTGCTAATAAGGAATATTATTGTTATATTATGGTCATAATATAATAAACACGAGCACAAATGACATGGACAAGGGTTACACTTGTTCACCACCCGGCTGCCATCAG